AGTGTTACAAATGAGTAATTATTAAAGTACTGATGGAATGTTCAATGTTGTTCTCCATTCTACACTAGTAATTCTGCTATTAAAAACAAATTAACTGCTTTAAATATTGTAGAACTATTAAATATACTAAGAAGTGTTTATATGTACTTTTTATAATAACATTTTCTTAATCGTAAAATATTATATTAACAAGAAGTTCCTGGAACTATAATATATAAAATATTTTATAGAAAGTACAAATAACCATTTTTGAAACAATGTATAACCAAAATGTATTATTCAAATTTTACAATGTATGTATTTCTTTAGAATTTCCAAACATAGAAATACTCATAGCATTTGTATCTTCATCAAATATATTAAAATATTAATGATATATTTTTTTTGAAGAAACGTATCAAGTAAAAATAGAACATATATTGTTAATTTTCTTCTTCGTGTACTGATGTACTTATTACATTATTTTCACCCATTTCATCCTTTATATGTACTTCATCTAGTTTTTTGGGCGACCCCAACATTTTGGTGTATTTTGCCTCTTCTTTTTCTGAATCTTCTTTTTTACCGTTATCCTCTGTTGAGTTCTGCATATTATTACTATTTAACGTTTCTGATGAATTCAATATTTTCTTCTCCTCTGCAGTTGTATTATCCGCATTCTTCCCCCGTCCTCTTTTTGTAGTAGCTACTGATTCTTTATTTGTTTTCTTTTGTGTTTCTTTCACTATTTTCGTTGCATCAATATCATCTTCACTAAAAGCAGCTTTACCACGCATTTTCGTAGGTTTCTTCTGTGGTGTTTCTTTTTTCTTTACATTCCGTCCTTTTTTAGCAGTTTGAGCTGATTCTGACTCATTATTTTCAGTAGTTTCACTTTCATTATTAGTATCTGTTCTGAAGGTAACAGGTATTGAGTCTGAAGGAAATTTTTCTGTTGCTTTCACTTCCTCATCATCTTTTGTAATATCATCTGAATTAGGTTCATTTTTACGACCCCTTGCTTTCCTTGATGCTGTTACTTTTCTGGATTTATCATCTTCTGTTTTAACATCGTTTTCAGTCTCATTGTTGCTAGTTGCTTTAGTCTTGTTGTTAGCTCTGCTAGAAATTTTATTTTTTGTATCATCATGTACATCGACCTTCTTTTTTGTTGTTTTTGCCTTTGGTTTACTTTCCTTTGATGTTGGCTCAGCATTTGTTTGCTTTCTCTTTTTTGTAGCTGGTGCTTCTAAATTTTCAGCATTTTCATTAACAGGTTCTCTTTTGGCTTTTCCCTTTGACTTTCCCTTAGCTGAAATGAATATATGATCATCATGTTAATACATGTATAATAAATTTTAGATATGTACAGTAATAAATACAATCCTGTTGATTTCCTGATTTTGATGTTATTTAGTGATTAAAAGGATGTATTTTAGTACAGCACAGTAAATCCTCTGCAGACTGATGTTAAATAGCCACCCAAAGCCCTTTTACCTTACAGACACGTTTAGGCATACAGTCTGAATCTCTGAGGTATGTTAGTACTTATAGACACATAGCGACTTGCTATATGATTCCTATAGCACTTTTTCGAAATAAACTGAACTATTTTCATTGTATAAATCTTATTTCTTGTTAGAATTAACTTCCGTAAATGTTAGATCTTAGTCCTCCCCATATCACATTTCTGTCTCACAATATTAGACTTTCGCTGTATGTCTCAAACAAACAATTTGTGTTCTAAAGAAATTAAGTTATATTTTTATCTTTAAGTTACCTACATAACCTTTCCTTATAATGAAATACAAATTTCATGAACATAAAATAAAGTTTATAACTTTTAAAATGTGACCTTGAGGCATGTATCTTTCACTTATAGAATATTCCAAAACCTCTCATCTCGTACACCCAAAAGTCAGATACCCCATTCCACAAAGAATTAAATAGAGAAACAACTAATTGATACAAGCCTTCTAAATGATAAATCCATAAGGTTACGTAAAAAAGAACTAATGATGTAGCTAATACCTAAAATATGATAACCATTACTTTTAATGTAAATGTTTTTGAAAAAAACCACATAATTAAATTAAATAAAAAGACAGTTTTGGTGATATGTGTGTATCACATATCCCATATAAACAAAACAATCTGATTTATCGTCTTTCTCCTGCAGTCTTCATATACAATGTTTAATGTTTTTACGTATGTATAAACCACTAAATGAACATTCCCAATGCATTATTAAAATATTCATAAAATGCCATGTTAAGAATATTTATCCTAAAATTATAGTGGCTGTACAAAATACTTGTAGATTCACTTATTTTCTAATGAAATATTTTTTTAACAGGTTCTATATTTCATTTTCACAATATCAATTTTTTTAGTCATGTGGAAACACTACTATAAGACATAAAATTTAACATACTTGGATCTAATTAATTAATATATAAATGCTATAATAAATATGGAGTATAAATATTTTTCGTAGCCACTGTATATATTTTAAACTAAAAAGCTTTAATATCTTTCCTCGTGATTGTACACATTCCCAATGCGCGTCCGAAAATTACCGCGTAACCACCACGTTACCTTATAAATCAAATAAGCAGTAAAAATTAACAAACAAGACAAACAAGTTTTTCGTATATGAAAATTCTCATTCAAAGAACACATATTAACAATGATATTACAAACTTATAGAAAGATTTCGGATACGTACATTCTTCGTCTACATTGATTCCCGCCTTTTTCGCTGTGGCTTTAGCGCGTGTCTTTTTCGTTTCAGTTTCCTCGGCATTTTTCACCTTCTCGTTTACTGGATTCGTATCAGCTTTTTCCGCAGCCTCTTTGTTCCTCTTCGGCGCGGACTTGATTTTAGAGTTTGGTTTTTCAGTCACTGAGGCGGTTTTAGCTGATGTCTTGGGTTTTATTTTCGCGTTCCTAGTTACCGCCGTGGCCGTTTCTGTACCTTCTGTCTGCTCGATTTTAGTTGATTTTGCAGCTCTCGGAAACCTAATTTGCTTTTCCTCGTCACTTTTACTCGCAGCCTTCGCTACAGTTTTTTTCTTTTTCGGGGGCGACACATCGCCGGCTTCTGCAGCTCTCTCTACAACCTCTGCCTCCGAATGTTTCGCAGGCTTACGGGGTGCCATTTCGTCTCACGAGTATCTAAGATATATTTAGAAACTAATTTTTATACTATTATTGTTATAATTTACATATAAAAAGTGATATATATATATGACTAAATACCACAAACCACTCGTTAAACATAAATAACTAAATACTACAGAACGCCGCGTGATTACTTACCACTTACCGGTGCCCAACGTGCAATAACGTGTTCGTTGCATTAACTGGTGTCCGCAAGTCTGCAAGTTACACGACTAAACTAACATAGTAGCAGATCGGCAGCTTCAGGTTTCGAATGAGTTTGATAATCGACAATCGATTTTCGGATTGACGAGTGGCGACAAGATATCAACGGATCAAATCCTTCTAACAACCGTAATTCCCCTAAATACACGCAGCAACATGCTACGCTTACTTTGCAACTAAGTAAACCAACTTTTTTATGAAATATTTACAGCTCTTAAGAATGGAGCCTAAGGCCCAATGTTTTGCACCCCTCCAAATAATTTTATCTTAATATTCATTCATTTAACATTTACCTAATCCTTTATTAAATTATAATAATTTTAAGCTTTTCTTTATACCTATAAATATCATAACTTTTGAGGACTGTTTTTATATGATTCATTAATACGTTGAGATAACCACTTGATGTCTTAGAGTGTTACAAAAAAGGATTTCCAATTTATTTTTTATTTACTGTTATTTTAAATTTTTCGTTAATTTTATATTTATGGCGTAAGCATTTAATTTGTTACTGTTTAGGGTTTATTCTAATAAAATTGTATTCTATGAAATTGTATCATAAAATGATCCGAATTTTAAGTAATATATAAGGGAATGAATATATCGCGGAGTCATCCTTAATCTCGTTCAATGCTACTCTGTTATTTACATTTTTTAGTAAAGTAAAATATTTAATTATCAAAATTCTTGTTAATAGTAAAAGAGATTAATCTAAACATAACGAGTATGTATATTCATATCGTATTTAACAAATAATGTTACTAAGATGAAATTTAATAGAATGAAAATTTATGCCTGTAAAATGCAATTATATTTTAATGGAATTTTCAATGAGATAAAACATCGAGAAAGATGATTTTGGTAATTTTTAAAAACAATTTTCATTAGGATATTTTCCAAAATATATTTTATGTTTATTACTTTGCCATATTAAATATTCATGAGAATAAAAGATAAAAAAATATTGAACAGAAGAATTTACATTATAAAATTACATGTAATACATATTTTAAATATACAAAATTTATTGATATATAACTTGAGAATTTACATTATTTTTTTGTTTATATAAAGTTACAAGCATTAACATTAGTTATACGTAGTTATTTTTGTTTATACTTTCTTAACCAGGAGAAATAATCCTTATTGCTCTATTTTTGTGTTTTTATTTTTTGAATTCTTAAAATAATATTAAATATTTATATGTGCCTACATTGTATGTAAATATTCTTTTTAATAATAATTACTTAATGTTAATTATGTTTTATAATATTCTTAATACAAATTTCGATTTCTTTTATTCTAACAATGATATACATATGTAGTATTCCTAACAGTAGTTACCGATTTCACATATTGGCATGAAGATCTTCGGAAGAGTCATTCGTGTTAGTTTTCATATCAACAAAATTTAGGAACTATTGAATATGTTACTTGAAATTGGGATTCTTTAAAATAAGATTAAATTTTCTTATTTTATATATATATATATCTTTTTTAAATTATACAAATTAAAATTTATAATTTAAATACACCCCAAAGGTAATGTTAGTAATATCATAACCTATAATTGTTGTTTCACTTTGACGTTTGATAAAACAATTCATAATAAAATATTTAATTTATTTCACTAGGTGCTCTGAAATAAAGTCACAAATCAGAGAAAACTTATATCAAGTTACCGAAATACTTAAAATCATCGCGAACTATTTCAACAAAATTATTTCATGATGAATAACACGAAAAAGATCAATGTAAATTTTTCATCCCTCGTGGGTTTAAAAGCGGAACTTTTAAAAAAGCAACATGAAGTAAATGAGGCAAAATTGAAATCAGAAATAGATCACACAGTATCAAAGTTACAAAAGAAAAAATCCAAGAAAATTGAAAAGGAGTCTAGGAAAGAAAATTCAAAAATGCCGGAGTACATTGAGGATGTTGATACTCATAAAAAATCGAAATTAATGTTGGAGGCAAAAGCAAGATTATATGACCGATTAAAAAAATCCAGAACTACTAATGAGAATTTCCTTGTTGACTTTACAAATAAATCAGATGAATCTGAGGAAGAACCATTGCCAAAAGATGAAACTGACCCAATATTAGAAAATGAGGATGACTGGGTAGAATATGAGGATTGTTTTGGACGTACGAGAAAATGTTTACGCGAAGATTTGTCCTTGATGCAGGAAAAGGATCAATTGATCAAACAACAAATTATAACCAAAAAAGGAATTGATCCAAAAACCAATGATATTATTGACCAAAACTATGTTGAGGGAGAGAAAGAACCTGAAATAGAAATTATGAGAAGAAAGTGGGAGGAACAAACACAGAAACTAGCAGATAAAGTAAACATACACTACCAAGATATTTTATTTGATGAAGCTAGAACTCATGGTGTTGGTTACTATGCATTTTCACAAGATGAAGAAGAAAGAATCAAGCAACAGGAGAATTTGTTCAATTTAAGAAAGGAAACAGAGAAGAAACAGAGGGAGATAAAAGAATTGAAAGAATTGAGGGAGAAAATGGAACATAATAGATTGAAAGCGGCTAAAATTAGACAACGTATTAGAGCAGGATTACCTATAGATGTAGTAGAAGAGGAGTTTAGAGAAAAGAATGATAATGTATCTAATGAAAATGAATCAGGAAATGTACATAATACGGAAGAGAATTTAATCGAAACTGAAGAAAAAGAAAATAGTGAAAGCCAGATTATAGAAAGAGATAAAGAAATAGAAAAAGAAAATAAAATAAAAGCTTTAGGAGAACTTCTAGGCAAGAGAACTCATTGGTATGAGATGTCTCAGGAAGAATGGGTTCATAAATGTAGGAAAATAAGAGTCACTGAATTTGGACCAGTATATGAAAATTTTAGAAGTGCTGGTTATTTGAATCCTCAAAATGCTGATACAGTTTCAAGTATTCATAATAATGACAAATCTCATTCATATGAAATGAATGATACAGAAAACAGTAATGAAATAAATATAGATTCTTATGATATACCACTCCCCCCTAGCTTAAATACAAATGATTACAATACTGAGCATAATAATTTGACTGAAACAATAAATCAGAGTAATTGTGTTCAGTCAGTTGATTCTAAACAATACAACTCTAGTAATACAGTGCAAAATCAGATGAAACAAAATAGGAGTATAGATGAAGCGAGTATAGCAGCTGGTCTCAAATACTTGAGAGAAAAATTTGAAAAAAGTCAGAGTGCTTAAAGCATTTACAAACTGATTTATACTATTTTACTATACATACTTGTAAATATAATGTATTGTATATACACGTGTATTGTATAGAATACTAAGAATATTTGTGATAAAAAATTTATTTACAAAAATAACGTTTCACATTTTCTAGTTTTTGTTTTTTAAACCTTCCTATTGTATTTTTATTTCACTCATATCCTTCTTCTGGTACTGCTAAGTCATCTTGTATACCTACATATTCATTAATTTCATTTTTATTTTCGTTAATTTCATTTTTATAAGTGGTAAAAAAGAAAATAATATTACCAGATAGATCAATGTCTGAAACAACTGTGCTGCAATTGGGACAGTTCACATGAGTATGGACCATGGTGAATTTCTTCAAACAATATAAATGAAAGAAGGTATCACAGTTAGTACACTTTTCGCCCTACTTAATAAAAATTATTAATATTAGGTTGAAATTTCTCACATGAAAAAAGCATATTAGATAGGAATAGCATACGTGAAAAATAACTTGTTTGCAAAGGCAACAGGTATTTAAATTGCTTTCATATGTAGCTCTAAAGTATGGCATTAATTCTGTTATACTTCTTACACCCATATAGTAATAACCATCCTGTAAATGTCATAAAAATATAAAATTAATCAAATATTACTGTAATGTATTTTGAATTTTTATCAATACCTTATAAATCAACCATTTTCTATTAACTATATCCTCCAGAAATTTTTCAGCACCTGCCTTTGACATTTTTATATCTAATGAAGAGCATAAATTTAAACATATTGTACTTTGTATGCATCCATTGCGTGATGTTATAATTTCAGAAAACATAGTCCTTAACAAGGCCAATTGCTCTTTTGAAAATTCAGTTTGGTACCTAGAAGATATCATGAATATCAATAAACTTCATACAAAATTTCTACAGATACTGTTACTTAACAAATTATGAAAGTAAAATAAAGACATCATAATTTATTTGTAAATCCATTCAATTTGACTTAACAGTATATAGGCCAATTTAAGAAAAAAAAATAAGTTAAACATTCTAAATGATTATAAATATTCATAAAATAATTATGCAAAACTGAATTTTGATATATTAACAATTACTAAAACATATACCTGGTTACATCATTAAGCGTAGTACTTATTAGAACCCAATATAATTTGCCTGTAATTTCACACTGTGCCTTTTTGATTAACATGTTTAAGGGCTGCAATTGTTCATTTATTTGATTTATTATTACTGATACTCTATTATCACCTAAAATATACAGTTTTGTTTATACAGATACAATAAAATAGGTACATAAAAATATGAATTGGATTTTACATTACATAAGAATTTACTTACCAAATAATTTAATAATTAAGTCCTGTATTTTATTTTCAATTAAAAGACCTTCATGTACAATTGCTTGTAGAACTATTTTGTGCTTATTGCTATAAGCCATGTTTTATTTCTGTAACAGACACAAGTATTATGTTTTTATTTCAGATTATTAATGTTATCAATCTGTAATGTCAAAGTACTAAAGTTTTATAAGTGAATCAGAAATTATTTCTGAATTAGCCAGCGTAACTTCTATAAAATGTTTTGACTAATTAAATAAATACACATATATATACAAAACTATGCAATGCAACCCGCAATTATGTATATAAATGGAAAAGATAAATTTTCATATAATGATATTATATAAAGAAGTTTTTTATTTATGCAATTTCGTAATATCCTTTTTCGTTGGTAATATCCGAAATACTACATTTCCTTAAAAAAACTGAGCAACTAATGAGCAAATATGTATATAAAATATAACCAATAAAATTTACAAATAGTTTTGAAACATATCTCACAGTGTTTCTCAAGTTACATTAAAGAAACGTAAATCCTTTCAGGAGAAACACAATCATAAAGTAATTAAGAAGCATAACAAATAATTTTTATAAATTTCTTCCATCTACCAAACATCTATTCTATTATATAAAAGATCAGACAACAGAATTATACATAGTTGAAACAATAAATTTCATTGTTTTATACTACACAAGTGCTACGTTAATTGATCGAGATTCTGTTTTATTAACTGACCATCACTATCCCTACCGAATCTTAAAAGTGATTTTGTGGACTAAGCCTTCTTTTTTATATTAAGTGAACGTATTAAGAAACGCTTTAGGCTAGTATAACTTGAAATTCGATACATCTTTGAGAAAACAAGTATGTCGAACCTAATGAAAAGTGTTTGAATTTCAATTTTGAAGGGATTCCTAAGTTTTTCATACTATGAAAATTCGAATCACCGAATATGATTCAGTACTACAACTTTGGAAAATCTTGATAATTCTTGAGTTTTTAAAGCTTCAATAAGTCTTGATATCTTATATAAGATATTGAAGATAGGGTATAATATGAAAGAATGTAGATATGAAACCTTAAATACGTAAAGCCTATATTAAGATTCACGTAAGCGATAGATTAAGATTCACAACTAAAAATTTATAAAAACTTAAAAGTTTTTAGTACTGAATCATATTTGCATTCAAATTCGCCCTTGCATACGTATGTATATTCGAAATGATTCAAACTTCTTTCAGATTGATACCTACGCAGTCAATCTTTTCTTATTCTTATATTTCACAAATACAAATTAATTCTTCATAATATGGCAATTATTATTAAACAAGAAATAGAAGAGGCTTAATATTATGTACTTCTAATGAAAAATTGTAAGCAGGATATCAATCTACAAATAAATTTTGCAGCCCAAAACAAATACAGTCCCTAGTGCGGCTATATCAATGGATATTGTTTCTTACTGCTTTACTTTATAATTGTGATGCATAAATTATTATTATTCCTAACATAGAAATTTTAAATAAATTTATACAGATATATAGTTATACAAAAACAAATGTTTCAGACATTTATATCTCACATTCAATGAAGTAGAACTACTTTAGGAATTTTCTAGAAATACACCTGCCTCGATAACCAATCACGATAAGGCTCGATGTACGGTCAGCTAGCAAAGCATACCAGTAACGTTAAAATACTTGATTGTGAGAATCACTGTTACTGCCGCAACTTTACTGTATTATCATCGATGGGTGCAACGAGTATACGGTCAGTTTGAGTTTGAGCGCTACAGTATCATGAGAGAAAAGCATCGAGTGAGAGATGTGTTGACTCAAGTGAGCATCATGATCCATTCGAATATGTATTAATTTTCTAATATCGGAAGAAACGACAACAGGAAATATCGCCGTGCGCTAAAGTGAGGAAGAGGGACTAGAAAAGAGTGTGGAGGCGATCTAGTACATAGACATTGAGAGCTATCTCTGCTGCATAGTACAAGTTGTATCGCCAGGGCGCGAGGCCGCGACCCTGAGCCCGATACGCGGAATAGGACGTTTCGATAGCGGAATAGTGCGCGCAACGAATACGTGTCAAACATCGGTCCACGGATAAGCGCAAAGTGGAGCATCGTAGCGTACGCGGTGCTATCTGCTATCATTTGCTCGCGAAAAGGTCGAGAGTTCATGATCATTCAGTGACTCGAAACGATGATTCGACTCGTCGTTTGACGACGATCATTTTTTTTCTTTATTTATCACTGCCTGAACGATCAAAAACTATTAGTAGGCAAAACGACGAATTTTTTCTCCCTGCTCTCTCGCTTCTTAAGTGGATATCTCGTTGACCAGTGTTATAACCTGTTAAGATCGAACGTTTCTACGTTACATCGTTCAGAAAGATTTCTTTGAAAAAGAGAATTTTGTGAATCGGAGAGTGATTATTGTATAGTGATAACACGATCCGAAGATGCCGCTCTTCGGTAAAAAGGATTCGAATAAAAAGATCAAGAAAGATGGGAAAGACGATAAATCGCCGTCTGTCGAGGACAAATACATCCTAAAGGAGTTGCTTGGAACGTATGTACTATACATCGCTACGGACTATGTATCGGAAAGTAATAGAACCAATTGTACAAAAATTTTGTATTCGTGTCTTTCATATTGTCATTAATTTGATATTGCTCGATTAACCACTTAAGAATTATCTAGACTGCGGATTTCAATGCATTCATGGGAAATTTGATGATGCAGAAATGCATAGAATCCACATAAAATACTTAGAATATAGTACAATATTTATAAGGATATAGTATAACATTTATAGTATTTAAAATATTGTACTGTATTATACTCATAATATTTAGTAGTGTTCATAAGAATATCTATAAATAAGAAAAAAAGGAAGATTTGCATATAATCGAAATAATATTAACTTGGGATATGTTCTTAAAGAGTTAATAAAATGATTGATTCTAGTCATGAATTTGATGCTAAACATTATTATTACTTATGATCGAAATTTACGTGAATGATTGTCAGTCACTTTCCTTAACCCTGTTACGATCTTTGAATTTTTATGTCTCAATTTCGTTCTTGTTGAAACAAACAAAAAGACATCATATACTTTAAGAAATTTTTCATCATATAATGTTTATAGGAACGAAAAGTTAAAAATATTAATTTTTAAAGTTAACAAATCATGTGATGATTTATGAAAAAATTAATATTATCGGTGTATGTATATAAAATATTTCTAAGCGGTTCATCTTTAATGTCTTATCTTTCATAAAAGATACTTTCGTTTTGTAGTATCTAAAAATTACTACCACTTATTGGCACAAATTTAACTATTTACATGTAAATATTTTAGTTTTACATTTAGTTTATCTGTTTATTAAAATGTTCAAATTAGAATTTGTATTACGTATGATAAAGTGGCGCTTTCGAATCTTTTAGTTGACGGTTATGTTTGCTATTTATTCAATTAAAGACAAATGAAAATTATGTCAAATAAACTATGGAACTTATAGAAAGAAAATAAATTGTTATTAAATAAAATAGATACTATAAATTTATTTACATTTACAAAAAGATTTTGTTTTTTATATTTGTGAACAATATTTGATTTAACTATATTAAGTTCCATTAGTAATGTTGCAAGATATTTTGTAACAGATTGGGAAAGAGAAAGTACTTCCCATTAGCAATAAATATTGTATAACTATCATAATTTTTTGACACACTTGGTAGTTATATTGCTATTCAAATTACCTCAAGTACTTTTTCGTTTAGAACAATGATCAATATGTAGTACTATAGCATATAATTAAAAATTCTATTGTCATATTAGAACACTTGTATTAAATATGTCAATGTTAATTGCATACAGTCTATTATTATATCAGTAGTCTGGGTATCAAATGTTCTGGCGCAATAATTAGTAACTGAATATAAGTGCATAAGTCATGTTACATTCATGCACTTTTTTAATGTATTGTAATATAATATGCCAATTTTTATGATTTCCATTATTATATTTATTTATTTTATATTTATTTGTGTAGGGGTGCTTTCTCTGAAGTACGTTTGGCAGAAAGTAAAGAAAAGCCTGGTCAAATGTTTGCTGTGAAAATCATTGATAAAAAAGCATTGAAAGGAAAAGAGGATTCTTTAGAAAATGAAATTAGAGTGTTGCGAAGGTAATATTTAGCTTCTGTAAATAAATTTATTTGAATTTCTCTTAAGTGTTTAATTATATTATATTGTACTTATTGTATTGTAACTTATATTGTATTTTTCCAGGTTAACACATCCAAATATTGTTCAATTACTGGAAACATTTGAGGATAAACACAAAGTTTATTTAGTTATGGAATTGTGAGTGTTTTCATTTGTCTATAAATTAGTATACATATTATAAGCTTATATTTGATTTCTGTTTTTCTTCCTATATTAGGGTTACCGGTGGAGAACTATTTGATAGAATTGTCGAAAAAGGTTCCTATACAGAGAAAGATGCATCAGGTTTAATAAGACAAGTTTTAGAAGCTGTGGATTATATGCATGATCAAGGTGTTGTGCATAGGGACCTTAAACCTGAAAACCTTTTATATTATAATCCAGATGAAGATAGCAAGATCATGATTAGTGACTTTGGACTGTCAAAAATGGAAGACTCTGGTATTATGGCAACTGCTTGTGGTACTCCAGGATATGTTGGTATGACCATTGTCATTTAGTTGGATATATGTATATATGATTTATTTTTTTACAATATTTTAACATCTTTTTTTTATTTACAGCTCCAGAAGTCTTAGCACAAAAGCCGTATGGAAAAGCTGTAGATGTGTGGAGTATAGGAGTCATTTCTTACATCTTATTATGTGGTTATCCTCCATTTTATGACGAAAACGATGCGAACCTGTTTGCACAAATTTTAAAAGGTAATAAAGCTATTTTGGGATACAAATTTTTTTTAGTATTTGGGAGGATTATACTATCACTTCAATTTAGGTACTACTTTTAGGATTCACAAACACATGCAGCTGCACATTAACTTGAAATTTTAATTTTTAAGGTATTATTCTAGTTTTTGTATGCTGCTATATACATGCTAGTGTAGTAAGTAAATGATCTTTTGTGTGTGTCCGCGTTTTTTATGAAAGTTATTGTTGTTGATGTCCAAAACTTAACATTAAAAATTCTATTACAATATCCGTATTGTCTGAGTAAAAGAGATGATTAAATGGGATTTTTTATAGTGAAGTATAAGAAACAAATTTATGTCATACAGTGTGAGAACCTAACAGTACTTCTTCCAAATAAAATAATTGATTTAAAAATTAAATAAGTCATAATAAAATCGTCTACTCTATAGCAAGAAGCTAACCAGACTGTTATAGGTGAATTTGAATTTGATTCGCCGTACTGGGACGATATCAGTGAGTCTGCAAAGGATTTCATTCACAAATTGATGTGCGTCAATGTCGAGGAGCGCTTTAGTTGCAAACAAGCCCTTGCACATCCTTGGTAAGATCATTATTGCACTTAGATATTGTATATAATTTATGTTATTTGAAATTATTATATTTTTGCATAAATTTATATTCAGTAATGAAGTCATATTAAAAAATTCGCAATTCGCAATATTTTGAACGTCTTCTAGATTTGATGTTTGTAATTTTTGAAGAGTCGTGTTTTAAGATTCAAGCAATAAAAATATTACAGGAACTGAATTGTTCTTAATAATAAGATAAATATGGATTAAGTAAGTAGAAGGATTACATTAATTTCGTTATACATTAATTAATCCTACAAGATTAATTATTGAAGTATGTGTATAAATTTCCCAATGTGTGTAATAGTTGATAACTCATTTTAAATTAAAATATGAAATGTATATGTACCCACATATCAAAATTTTCAGTAATTCTCATAAACAAATATCTTAACATATTTTAACAAATCAGTCAATATATATTTTGCTTAACATATCATTTTTAACAAATATATTTTATATTAATAAATATATTTGTTTAATCAGTCATGTTTTATGTGTAATGCAGTATCGTGCAATTAATTTTTTTCAGGATATCCGGCAATGCTGCTAGCAATAAAAATATCCATGGTACTGTATCTGAACAACTTAAAAAGAATTTCGCCAAATCAAGGTGGAAGGTTAGTATAATTAGATGATTATCATGTTGCTGATTGTATGTGTTTGCTCGCCAGGCTCCGTAGGAATGTCTTCCTCTTCTCTCATGGTTGCAGCAAGCCTACCACGCAGCCACGGTCATACGTCAAATGCAACGGCTGGCACTCAACAGCGGCCAACAGCAGCAGGGCCCAGGATCAACAGGCCCCTCCAGCGGCAACCCCACGCCATACCCCGATCAATCGCAATCCAACCCCAGTTACCAACCCAGATCAGTGGAGCCTCCGACCAACCTCAATTGAAGGAAATACGCGAGTCACCATTGCCGGTGTCAAGCTTGGTGGTCTCGAGTCCTATTCCCATTCCGATCACTCCAAATTCACCATTATACTTACGCAACAAACGCTTCAAGCTGTGGGGTAGCACACGCACTGCTCTGTCTACTCTATTTCAAACGAATGTATCGTATCTTAGAAAGCAAAGAAAGTATAAGAAAAGCTGAGTCATGCTAAGATTCTTCTAATGAAAAATATCAAAGCCGTCAGGTGGCCGTTTATTCTCTTACCGAGTTATTATTTAAATACTGGTAAGAGTTTGTATAGATTCCAGCTAATTCGCTTTATTGTGGTCTCCTGTGACATGGTTGCCACCGATCGTGTATATTACAAAATTACACACGCTCGCGAGTGCGCGCACATACACACACTTAAATGCACGTATAAACAGCCCGCGCGATATAAGGCGATTTTCCGAATGTTTCTCGTTTTATCGTCCCTCTCAGTTTTGTTGGCTTTGTTTCGACAATTTCTAAATAGATCTTCTCACTTTGTTAGTATATATTTCACAGTAGAATTAAATCCCGTAGCCATCAATAGTGATTTTAAATGACGATATGTCAACAGCATTGATTTGATCAAGTAAAGATGTAGTTAATGTATTTAGATAAACTTAATGCTAATTGTGAAATCTTGTAACGCAAGAAAGATCTTGCTCGATCAAATCTGCTAAATGTATAAAGAAAGAAAAAAAAAGAAACTATGTGAACAGTACAACGACAAGTTTTTATCTTTTATAAGGTTTGGTGTAATGAATAGTAGTTGTTTAGATGATTTTTTGCTATGTGAACATCTTACTATATTCTGGCTAAATATGTTTTAAATTCCATAAAAACCGATACGCAGCTTTTTACCCGGTACTTATTCGAATGAATGATATGGCCGAATATATCTTTTGAAACAGCGTTTTTTCAAGAAGCACGAAACAAAAGACAAATTAAGTAAGTTTTTGTAAGACAGATCACTCCGAATGAGGAGAAGAAAAGAATTCTTGCCATATGGAATCGTGTTGTGAGACTGTATGAGATCTGATTTTTATCAATATTTGTTTTTATATTTCCCTCAATGATTACTATACATGTTTTATTTTATGACAAATGCAAACATTTATATACGAGTCATGTACAGTACACTGTATTGCAAGATATGTACATTGTGTACACAGATACTTGTTCTGTTACATAGTGATATTAGTACATTTTAAGAACTGCAAAACAGAGATCTACTAATTAGATTTAATATGTATATACATACGTGTATATTGCTCTACTGATATTTTTATCGATATGTTGCACTGAAATTTAATGGAAAATGTACATAATTCATACACGATTCCCCAATTATCTCTTTGCAAGATGCAAATATAAAAAGCATATTATATAATGTCGAATTTTTCACTTTTTTATAATATTTTTTAAAGACAATTATATTTTTATACGCTTTGCAATTTCTTCTGATCTACTTGTTTTTATTGTATTTTTATTCTATTAAAAAAGCATTAATCATTATTGTCCTTCAAATAATGCATAGAATCAAATTGGCTCATCTTCGGAGAAAGTAGAAAGCACAAATCTAATTAGATAAGAGCTAACGATTTATATATTTTGCTGTGTTATAAAAGAATGTACATATTATTTTTATATGTTACGTTCCTTGATGTAAATGTGTAAGTACTTTCAATGTGCTATGAATAGTTCAATACAAATATTTTTGTATTTAATATTTTGTTGTAGATTACAGCGATTATATATCATTGCATAAGTTCCAAAAGAAAGAATTGAAATATAATCTAGCTATTTATATTTGTATCTTTTTATAATGTGAAGAATCAGTGAATCATATACAGTACTCAGTATTTGAATTACAACAGGTACTTCAACGAAATGTTCGGAAATACTTTTAGTATTTGGTGGTATTTCTTTATTTTTTTACAAATAATTGCAGATAAGTGCAATACCGTATATATCGTAATCTTGTGATAATGATGTTACTGTGGTCTCTTACTCAATGGTATATCGATATAAAGATATTAATACTAATAAATATTGAGAATTTTCATTGAAATAGGATATAAAATTTCTCTCAATTGGAAATGTATCAAATATTAATTTTTCACGATGATGATGATCAAATTCCACGTTTTATTATATAGATGGGAAAAATACATTATGTATTAATATGCGGAAAATTGTATCAACAAAATTCTATGTTTTTTCAGTGTCCTTTTGAAATAAATCTAAATTGTACTCAATGAAATCTAGAAAGATCATATATATATTACATACATACTATGATAGAGAAAATTATTGCTGTTTATCGAGCGGGCACTCCTTTTGTCATAAATTGCTATCTCTTTATCTTTAAACAATAAATATAATAATCACTCTGAACTCTCATATTAGACATCCGTCCGTGTACCGGGCACTATTCGTGTAATTCATAACTATATAAAAAAGGGATTCGTGTTAACGCTACATAATAATTTTGAAATCGATAATAATTATATTAATTATAAGATAGACATTGTTCTAATAAAATTAAACAAACTACATATAAATTGATTTAGAACACGACGTATATGATGGAAGTTAAGATACATACAATGATCATCATTTTGTTTCTTGTCGAAACATTGTAGTATCAAAAATTTCAATTGATAAACAGGTCTTTCATTGCGCAAAAAATAACGCACCATTCTAAAGTGCCTTGGATGACACGATGATGGAATGTCAGATAAATAAATTCAAAAATATGTTACTCGATGATTAGAATCAGATATCATTTATCTTTTATTTAGAAAATAGGTTTCTATTTCTATATCCTAATCTAAATATTTATTTGCATTATAATATCTCACAAAAAAATATTTGAATTCAGATATTTAATAAAATTACGTAATTTTATTGTAATTTTTTTATAACCAGCATCGTGTCATCTAATAAGAAAGGTTCGTTAATAAACATTTTTTTACGCTAAATATATTGTGCATATGAGCTTGTAACTTAAAAATTCTAGAAGGAAATAAAAGAAAAGGAGCTTAGCTTGTATTTAGAAACGAATTATAAAAAAAGAGAAGAAAACGATAAAACCGTGCCACATGAATAAACATATCGGCAGGAATATTGCAAAATGTGATTATAAAAATAAGCTGATTTTAAATAGCAATGAAAACAACAACTTGTTACTGCAGTTTTATTCGATGAGAAAAAAAATAACGTCAGACTGATAAGAGTGTGTATGGAGCGAACGAGGAAGAGAGTGAAAGAAAGAAAGAGAGCGAGAGGGAGGGAGAAATGTTGTCTAAAATGTTTTAACTGTTGCCTATAAATTAAGCGTAATTGAGCTCCTATATGTACCGACCGATTACAAGAATAACTTCTTCCTATTGTAACTTTTTCTCATTGCACAAGCCTTGCAATTGTTATGCTTACAATTTGTGCATGTGAGAATGATTATTATCAGACGTTTCATTGTTAATTGTACTTGATACAGAGGATCAGAGCCGTTAGAAAAAAATTTAATGATACAAATTTATCAACTCTACGCAGAAAATTTTAGCAAATCAGAATCTATTAAACTAATTTACAGTGCCAATGTATTCCACACATACAAAAAGAGCTGTTGAAATCGCTAATTTTTTGAGGCATGTAAAATATTAAATTTTTGTAAATTACATATTATATTCGAATAGCCGATATTTTCGAAAATAAGATCGATTAAATTTTTAATAATATATTGCTTCATCAGACAGACTAATTTTTTTTGTTCAAAAATAGAAAAAACTGGTTTATAAGTTCGAGGACTATAGAAAGCGGATAATAAGTATTTCGAAATTAATAAGATCTTAATTGTGGTGCTACAAAACGGATGTTCGATACTACTATTTCATGGAATGTTGATGAATAAAAAAATATGTATATATATACACATACTGATATATATATATATATTTAGCTGTCTTAGCTTGTTTGAGTATCGCATTAATGTAATCATTCTTTTCTATAGTCATCCTGAGTTGTAAGATTGTTAATTAAAAATAAAACAGAAATATCGGAACGCTTATAAACTACAAAATAAGTAAATTAATCGCACTTTAATTTAATGCACATTTAATAAAAGTTTTCCTTTCGGATATGAAAACGAATGCAAATATAATAAAAATATGGACGATGCAAATGATAACAATAATAATAACCATATAATAACATTTACAGAATTGCGTGTGTTTGTGTTTAAAATTAGGCTATTTTTTTATACAAATTATTTTAAATACATTAACAATGATATGCTTTATTTTATAATTTGTTAACTGATAAATGTGTAGCAGTTTCAGTTTGCATATTATATAGACAAAATAAGAAATTTACATGATTATTACATTTTATATTAATGATTTATCGACATACAGTGGCTGCCTTCATGAAATACAAAGTTGTGGACTGATAATCCATGAATCATGTAAAACGATGTTTTTTTTATGGAATATGAAAAAATTAATTAGTTCGAGTACAAGAATAGTGTAATAAATAAATGCATTCAATAACTTGACAAAAGAAGTTTACATTACACCATATAAATTGATCTTTTTACAACTACTTACATCTTACTTAATTTTTATTTATAATAGTATAAATCTTTACTATTCCTTAAATTCATGGCAATGTGTTTGTAAAGTTTATTTATTATACAGTAATATACAATTATATAATTAACAAATAATATTAATATTTGTTAACTGTGGTGATAAAAAATAATAAACTTTACATTTATTATAAAATGTAATGTAAACTTTTGTGTTAGACTGTAGTTTGCTATGATGTTCCTACTACACATTGATTTCGATATAATATGTTTAAAGTTTGGCTTAAATTCCAAGTAGTTGTTAATACTATGTAATGAAACATACAAATGATATATATATAGCTATATAACTGTACTTAGTAAAAAAATTGAAAATTAAATTAATATTCATAGTTGAAATACGTAAAGAATAATAAATTACACAATGAATGATTCTATAAATTTCCGAAGTAGCAGCCACGAGAGATTAACATTAATATTGACATTCAATATATTACTAGGCATCGTTAATAATACCGTTTAGTTGATGCTTCTTTCTTCCTGGAAATCGCATTTTATTTCTACTTTAATATAGATTAATATGATTTCTGTTTAATTGATTATTTCGATCAACTTAGTTATACAACTGAAATAAGTGTGAAAAAATACTATAAATAGAAAATATACTTGCACATTCCTATATACGTTAAGTTTTTGGTAGTAACATCTGAAAATAAACCGTTGGCCCCTTATGTGTAATTTGTATAACTTTTCTGTAATCAACGCTTATCAATAATTCAACATAAAGTGTTTGGAATTTCATATAGTTCATACATTTTGAACTAAATGAACACTTTTAATGTTATGTATTATACCAAATGATATTATAAACGAAGCAACCTTACATTATATTAAATACACATATTTTAGCCTTCGTATGCATTTAACGCTTCCCGTAATTTATCTACAATCTTTTGATAAAACTTAATTTGCTCCGTGAGATGCGTTTTCATTGCTTGAGTTAAATGTATTTCTTGTTCTGTTTGAAAATGCGTTTCTTCGGCGAGAAGAGCTCGTGCTATTACATCGGTTCGATGAGATAAATCTCGCAATTGTTGCGGCTCCATTTTATGTTCACTTACTAACCTTTCGTAATCTTTACGTTTTTGTACAGCAGTCTAAACAAGTTAAAGGAAAAGAATAAAGCAAATTAATAATACCAAAATTTCTTCATAAGACTATACCTTAAAGAATAAAATCTTTCTTATCAGTTACCTTGTGTATGCTAATTACATCTGGGAAACTACTGATGATTCCTCTATAAATATGAAATTTATCAGACAAAGGTTCCCAATCAAACTTAGGCTGTTCTTCGTATAACTTGCCGATATCGTTATAAGCATCTCCCGTTATTTTTAACGCGTAGGTCAATCTTCCTCGACTACTATCGTCGCCTTCTAAAGCATGACTTAATGCACTAAAACTTTGACCAATTTTTTGAAATTCTCTCTTATAAAGAAGGCTTTTCTTTGTTTGATCAACAGCCATAGCCATAAAATTTTTAACAACCGGATCCAATCCGCTTATAAATCTACTGAAAGCATCCGTTTGAATTTCCACTTTTATAACATCCAAAGTTGTTTCAGGACATTGCACAGCATTAAAGTAATTTACGCCTAATAATTCATCTTTCTCAGCCTGTCTCTTGCCGGCCTTCCACCTTTTCTCATCTGTACAAGTTATAAAATGTTCCCATACGCGACTACGTGCTAGTACAGGATGTCTACAAACGTAATCAACGAATTCTTGTAATTGTGTGCGTCGATGTTCGATAAATTGTTCTTCATATCTCCCTGATATTTGTTTATCTGGCAATGGTGGAATGGGAATAAAACAATATTTTTCTTCCAAACGTTCGTGTAGCCAATCAAAGTGTTTGTATCTTCTTGAAACTTGAATATTGTTGAACTATAACAAAGAATCAATGATAATTCTGTGATTTATTGTTACAAGGATATAAGGATACAAAAATTAAATACCGTTGGTGTAAGTTGATAAACTATGAAACTTTTAAGACCCTTCAGTTTAGATTCTTTCTTAGGAGATGTAACTACACAGTTGTAGGATTCCCCTCTTGAACTCCACCTAAAACGTCCACCTTCAATTTCCTCAATATATATTTTCTCATTTTCAGGAACATTTGCTACTCTCATCCCTAATAAATAACTATCTTCTCCAGACTTTATTAATGTAGAAAATTTATTATTTTTCTTTGGTATGTTGGGTATAGGCCTTTCAGGTATCACAGAATGAATAGTTTGCATAGAAACTGAATCTCCATAATCAACACTATTGTGCTGTTGCAATTGCATCATATGTTGTTGTTGCTGCTGAGGAACATACGCTTGCGTTTGTCCAACTTCTGAATCGTCATCCCATTCATCATCCCAATAATCCCCTGAACTTTGTTGGGATGATGTCATTGCATCTAATGCACAAGAAAATTTGAATATAACAATCTTTCAAATTAGTACTTCTGCAATTTTAAAAATTTGTTCATATGTAATGAAACAATTTAAGTATACTTGGAGCAGATGCTGAAGTGTCAACAATTTGAACATATGCCGCTGGAAACAATCCAGACTTTCCACTCTGATTAAAACCTTCACACCATCCATCACCTACATTATCCCTCATAACAGTCAACATTTCTCCTGCTGTGATAGACAACTCTGCTGTTCCTGGCTCTCCAGTGAAGTCATATAATGCCCTTACCTGGAAAAACAAACATTTAACGTTAATACAATGAAAATATATTCGAAAGTGAAGAAAGTTATCTTGAAAAGTTCGCATAAAAGAATGAGTCATAATGCATAAAACTGATCTAACTCTAAATAGTGATATATCAATCGCTTTTGTATTCTTAACAGGTTTTACACACCTGGTGGCCCTCCATTGTAAGTACATGTACTAATAGTAATTTCGAATTGCAACAACTGGTGCGGCAACTTTTCGTCTCCTTATTTCAAATTGTTTGATTGCACCCGGTCACATACCTACACCGATCTGCTTACCCGTATGACTGACATTTACGTATTTGTGCTTTAATGTGTGTGCGATTCTGTGCCACATAAATGGAAAATTTAAACGACTGTACACCACTACTGTCCGCGAAACATAATACGCTTTCATGACTTCGGAGAATGGTGTATTTCTTATATGTAAATCACATCCATATCGAAAATCGGAAGGAAATTCTAGATGATAGGAATAGACAGGCCGATGAAATGTAATTTGATGAATAGAAAAAAAAACGGAAGAAAGTATTTTGTGATTAGAGGTTAGAAACCGTGAAACACGGGGCGTATAAAATTACGAGCCGCTACTGATTTCGGATCCGCCTCTATGAAGTAACAAGTAACTCTTATGTCGCTTATTGAACTTTTGTCTGGGTGTGTACACTTGAACGAACCATTTATACAGTTGCGAATGAAGAATTAAAAAGAGAAATTACGCATCTTATGTAACGCACAAAGAAAATAAAATTCTTTACATCAACGTAAATTTTAATTATCAATTTCTTATATGAGTTTTTTATATA